CAGAAAAAAGGCTCCCGAAAATTCTAGGTGGCCTTTTTAGGGTAAAAATCTGTTAAAATAGGCAATTATACCATTTTTTACATGTTCGAAAATCCTAGGAGAGGCAGGCAAGCAAGAAATTTTACAACAAATGTTTCGAAAATTCTAGATCTCAAATCGTCTTCCGAACAGATATTCTTCCGAAAATTGTCGTTGGGTGCCCCTGACTTCAAAAGCCTGAAGAAGGAACCCACGGCCAGACTATAGTTTTTACCTTAACCTAACAAATTACGGAAATTGTACTCACCTCGAAATTGGTCGGCGTAATCTTTGAATGGTTTCATGAACTCTATCCTTAGCAGTCACTTAGAGCCTCTATCATCCCTTGCTATAACATTCGGCCTCTATACATCATTGTTAACTTGAGATCCATGGAGATGTTGACTTAAAATCTTCAAATTCACGGAACCTCATTTCAACAAAACCTTCGTATGGAACAGTCGGAATACACAGAGGCAAACAAAGGGTATTCAGGAGTCTTTATCGACAATGTTTAACAACATCATCGATCCAGATTGGACGAAAATTTGCATAAGTCAACCTTTAAGTCATAGTCATGATAGTGTAAAGGATTGTAAAGCATAGTCTTGTTCTATTTTAGACTGATTTTGACTGATTTTTAAAAATGTCATTTTACCACCCACAATACTAGTTGAATTAACTTATTTCATTAGTTATATTAACCACTAAGATGTGTCATAGAAATTTCGTTTTGGAGCGTGTAATCTATCATTGAAATAGTTGAAATAACAAAGTTTGTTTATCTCACGTCATCACTGAATGAGCTACTACTGTAACAGTTTTATGAAGCGCTAGGCATCAGTGATCGCATTTCCCCCTGATTTTTACATTATTTTCGTCTTGTTGCAGAATCTTGTTGTCGGTTGAACTAAGTTAGGTAACTTATCCAACTTACCACTTCAGTTGACAAACATGAGACCACAAACAAGAAACAGAGAAAAAAAAGATGAAAGGAGCGGAAAAAAATAAAGCACATGAGCACGACGAATGATTTTAGTCGTTTACACTAATCAGAATAGCTAAAGTTATCACAACTAACCTCAGTGGTTAAAACCACGTATTATTCCAGGTTATTTTAACAATTTTCTTTTGTTGACAAGTTCAAGTTCAAGTTCATTTATTCACACTTATTTAATTACAATACAACAATAAGAAAATAAAGGAAGAAGTAAAAAACAGAGCTAATGATACATTGAATTAAACATAAAAAAGGAAGAGTGTGTAGCAGCCAAAGGAGTCAAGCTTTAGAGTTGGCTACTACCACAGAGCAGTTACAATTTCGACTGTTAAGAATGGTTGCATTGATTATTGTTATTAGTTACAACCATTTAAAATAGTCATTTTAACTAGTCGAATTTTTCAGTGCAGGTACACCAACATAATTGTTTTTCGACTAAAAGCAATAGTAATAAGATTCGTGAATCCTCACCTTGATTTAGGCCCATTTCCATGTATCTTTGTCTTTCTAGTTTTGTTGTTCATAGACAGTAACTTCAGATTTATACAACCCGGGAGCACACAATCCGGTCTCGTACATGGGACGTGCACGGTAGGCTGGCGTATCGTAGCAGGGGAATCCCGCGGGAACCGTGGTGGCATGTTCTTTCTATTTGTCTCGGAGAACATACTCCCTATAAAGTCAAACTGTTTTGAGATTACATTTACAGTACTAAGAACGCAATTAGAATATGTTGTAAATGTTAACTCCATCGCCTGTTATAGGAAGTAATGCACTTGACCCTGGGCTATGGAAAGATCCATTCTATCTTCATTTTACTTCTACTTACAACCAAACTAAACAAACTGACATGAGATTAACAAAAAACTCATGAGTGTATTTATTACCCTTTAAATGGACCTTTAATCAGTTTGCTCCCAATTTAATTTTTATGCCGAGGAGACTGCATAATACTGTCAATTGATGGCTTTAAACAATTTGATCTGATATCAGAAAATCTGGCGAGTAAAAAGCTGCAAAGGCAGTTTAAGTTATTACAAACTTACCTAGCTCTATGACGTCCTCTTTCTTCGATAATGTGCACTAACTCAAAACAAAATTTCCCGTAAATGAAGAAACTCCAGTTTTTATGTTCAAGTTAGTTTATTGTCCTAGCACAGTTCCGCCCAACAAAGGAATTTTTCGTTTGTTTGTTAACTTGTTTATTTTTAACCTTCGTTTATTTAACCTTATTCAAACCAAGAAAGTAAAGCTCTCTCTTGGATAGGCTCGATTACCAGACGATCTTCGTAAAATAAGCCGATGCACGCTCCTCGAGTAAGCGGCGGAAATCGAGCCTAGTATATGACGTCATATATAGCATCCATATACGCACATACCCTCGTGCGTACATAAACAGCTAAAATATGGAAAAAATAGATTTTTTGTTTGAAAAAGCATGTTTATTATTTAATCGGGATGACTGTTACATTTTTGATACAT